CCCTTAACTGCAATACAAACCAATAAGAAAACAGAAAAACATGTCATAGGCGGCTTTGATGCCCATTTGTTTTGATGATGGTTTTGAACCAGACGACTATGCGTGCGGCATTAAAACTATTTGTTGTGGCTTGTAATTTTGACCGTTGTATTTCATTTTTTTAATGTTGGATTGTAACGAAATATTAGGTCCTTTAACATTAGACAATTTATGTCCGATTGTTTAGTTATTTTCTGATATCAATCTTCTAATATTAAAAATGCGAAAGTTTAGATGGATGGATGGATGGATGGATGTTTGTTAGCGTTTGTAGCCTAAACGGCTGAACGGATCTTCATGAAATTTGGCACAGATATAGAGCATAGTCTGGAAGAACACATGGGCTACTTTTTTATCCCGGGAATAGTTACGGTTCCCGTGGGTTTCGTTAATTTAGTTTTTTAATGTTTATTCGATTATTCTGCAACGGTTCCACATATTTCATTGAAATTTGGCTCAGATATAAAACTAAGTCTGGAGTACACAAGGGAAAAGGTTCATTTCCGAGAAATGTCCGGTTCCCGAGGGATACGTAGCTTTTTATAATTTATATAGTTCGTATGTTTTCTAATACCACGCGGACGAAGTCGCGGGCAACAGCTCGTTTTTAATAAAGAAATGCATTAAATTCAATGAGGTGCGCAATCACGAGCGATGTTACCTGATTAGATAGAGGACACGTTGACAGGAATAAGCGATTATATTTTTTAAGATTGCAAAATATATTGAGTGTATTTTGATGTTATGAACATTATCCTTCTTTCTCTGTTTGTTCCTTAATAGTTTTTGTTTACGTCAAGTATTGATAAAACTTTGTTAAAGTATTCTAATAATTCCAAAGATATTTGGCCTTAAAAAGTAAATGTGTTAAGTTTGTCACAAAAAAGGCAATATGTAATATAGATAATCTCTGCTTTATCTTTATTGTAATCGATTGGATAGCAGTGAAAGTGCTGAAGTGATTGATGTTTTGGGTGATCAGAGAAATAACAGTCGAAGAATCAAATTGGATTCCCATTTATAATCAATTATCGTACAAAAGACTGCAATTATAAGAACTATAATTCACCATTTTTGAATTAACGAGCTATATTTTTCGTCGAACATTATATCTATTAAAAATACGTTCTTTACTTCAGTACATACTAGTTTTCGCCCGCGACTCCGTCTGCGTGAAATTAAAAAAAGGGAAGTTTGAAATCCGTTCAGCAGTTAAGGCTACAAACTCTAACAAACATCCATCTAAGCTTTCGCATTTATAATATTAGTATGATTTGTATATCAGAGTACATTTAGAAACCACAAGATGTCGCTACTCGCTACCGCTTTCGCATGTAATATATCCTGAGCATAACGCACGTGCAGTTTGTCTGCATCCCGGACACACGTGCGTCCAAAAGTAGACGAACGTTTAGACTTGTATGATGTTTCCGGTGTAAGGGTTAGAAATCTTAGTAAAAAATACCTTTATTGAAAAGCAAAAAATTTAGGTAATCTTACTAATATTATAAATGCGAAAGTTTAGACGCATGGATAGATGTTACAGTTTGTAGCTTAGACGGCTGATCGGATCTCGATAAAATTTGGCATAAACGTAGAGGATAGTCTGGAAGAAAACATAAGATACTTTTGTTTTTTTAATGCCACCCGGACAGCTTGATAGTAGGTTCAGAAGTTATTTTGATTATGAAATGGGGCTGTTAAAAATAGCGTTTGCTTGTTGTTTACAAATGACGTAGGCGTACTAGGTCGATTATCAAGGGCGGACAACGGCACTGCATTTAACACGCACTTGCTTTCTCCGGCACAGTGATGCGGCCCGCGACTAATTCACTACTAATTGCGACTAATTGCTATAAAATCGATGTATTTAATGTACACCATGTTATAAGAGCATGACAAATGTCACATGACATAGATATCTATACGTCTATACTAATGTAATAAAGCGTAACAAACTACTTTGTGGCGTAGGATGTTAGCAATCACGGCATATTTTTGAATAATACTTTCTTTAAGGCGCAGTTTTCGTGACAATTTGCGTTTTTTGGGGAGAAGAAGTAGGTGCGCGCAAACAATGAGCGGGGTGCACCGCACGGTTAGATCGCGTGAGTCGAGTCTCGTCGGTCTTCGTCAGCTGTGTCCTTAACATCGAACGCTGCGAAGCGCCATCCCGACTCCGATTTAGATTTTTACATTTAGTTTATTTAAATATAAGTAGCTATTGTTTATAAAAGCCTTACACTTACAACACGCTTTAGGCTATATGCTATTTTTTTCGTACAGATACATTTAAAAGCTACATTTTATTAGTTATTGTCATCACAAATCGTAAAACGTTTAAACGTATAAGTTTGAAAGTGGTACGCCGCATTCCCTTATTGTACCTGCATCACGTTTCCCTTTACCGTAAGAATGTCGGATTTTACTGTAACTACAACGAATTAAAACCGCATCAATAGTTGCAAATAACATTGATATAGTTATGATAAAAATCTCGAGCACACCTTGAACACTAGCCATACGCCTTGTATCGTATCACAGGTTGATAAGAATAGATATTACGTGTTAGCTATGGCCGGCGTGCCTAGAATTGTATCTGGTTTTAGCGAATTAGTTTTGATGAAAGAGACATCCCTTATTTTTCGTCCACCTCTGAGAGACCAGGTCGTAGGTAAAAAACACAATTCATAGTCTATGATTCTGAAACTGATCTTTAATCATATGTATGCTGTTGTTGTCTAAATTTAGTATTTTTTAAGACAGTGTCGGTTTATGCTTAGATAATATAGAGCGGAAATATCTATCTAATTTAAGGCAGGGTCTAATCCTTGCCTGTCATGTTGGCTAAATCCTTCGAACGCGTTATCTCATTATAGTGGTCAAGCGCCTGCGACACGCAAATATAATTTTACAAACTGTATTTTGCTAATGAAAAATTATTGTTTGTTTTTGCTGTTTAAAAACGCATGTGAAGATAACGCATTTAGACATATGTAAATTGCGATTTAGATAGCCTGATTAAACAAACCTAGATATAACGTTAAATCAAAAGATATTTTGACAAGCAATAAAAGACTTACATATTTAGTGGAACTAATCCTTCTGACTCTTTGCGTCGGCTTTTTCTGCGCTCTTCTGTACTTATTCTGCTCAGCAGAAGAAGTATTTTTATCCTCTAGAACGAACCAATCGGTGACAGAACCCCGTCTCACAGTCCTAGGACCACTCACACTCTTAACACTCAACAACTTTGTTAACTCCGCTTTGAAATCATCACTGATTTTATTCACTTTGGGCACCATCACTTTGGGTGAAGGGAGATTGCTCAACGATGAACTTAATCTCTTCTCTTTAACACTCAGCTCCTTATTTGTCTTAGTATACGGTTCACAGTCACTCATGTAGTTCTCACTGAACATATCCACTGCCTTCTCGAACTCCTCCAATAAGTCCTGCATCGATTTCCCTTTCATAATGTTTACGACCAGACCGCTGGACGCTGATGTTGCGTTTGAAATACTCGAGTTGTTATTAGAAGACTCTGAAGGGAATTCTTTGATACTCTTCAAGAAGACGGAATCATCATTATTATAATAAACATTGGAAAGGTATTCTAAACTTTCAGTAGAAGACCAGGGGTCAGCCATAGTGTCGCTACTGCCAAACGCATACGATTGGTTTTTAGTCAAAGAATTCTTGACACTCTCTTCTGCTTCCTCTTCTATCGCACGAGGAAGAAATTCAAAACTCTTACTTCTTTTGTAAATAGGTTTATGCTGCTTTTTCTTCTCCATTAACTCTTTATTCCGAAAGAACCAAAACCGTTTACTCGATTTGTATTCTTGTTCTTTCTCCGTCTGTATATTAGGTTTTTCATCTTCTTCGCTTTTCGATTTGGATTTCTCTTTATCTTTCTTTAAGAAGCTTATACGAGAGAATTTATCTCGGAAACTGAATGTCTTTTTGAGTGGTGAGACGTCATCGTCTGATTGTGGTTTCGGCGAATCAGGGACAGGCAGACAGGATGATAGAAGACCAGAAGGTTTCGCGATCGCTAGTTCTGTAGATTGCCCTCTCACTGGTACTAAAGGAGGAGGTTTCAGTTTATCAGGTAAGTCGCCGAGTAGACCTCTTTCTATGAGCTGAAGACTTTCAGCGTTGAGTTTTCTAAGCACATCTGTTCTTTTTGCGATGAACTTCCTCTCTTTGTCCATGGCGGGTGACGTGGTCGTGGGCCCGCGACGCGGTGTCGACTGTACTATCGCGACAGTATTATCTTTCTGATAACGACTGATAATGATTTCTTGCGCCATCTTGTTTTTGAACGATTTATTTACCAACAGAATGCGTAATTTGCATTTTCGTTTCTGGTATTTGTTACAAGTTATTGTGTCTCAAATAGGAGTTGTTTTAGTTAATAAGTAAAGCTAGATAACCTAATTACCTAAGTATCAATTCCAATTTCAATAAAAGGTAAAATATACACGTAAATATGACTAATTAAATTGGAGCATAGTAACGGAATCCAAGTTTAATATACCAGTATTTTCTTTTTATTTTTCATTGAAAATATTTATGGAGGGTTTATTAAGATTGACAATACATATTAAGGCGCTGTTATACTAAATTGCGCATCTTTGATAACTTAAAACAGGATTTCTACAAATATTTGATTCGTGATATTTTAGTATGTGTAACTTCGGTCCTTTAACTAAAGTCTCGTGGAACAGAATCACGATTAGACAAACTTTGCTCGATAGGTTATTGTATTTGAAAATGTGCGTTATTCTGTTTGTTTGTAAAGTTTTGTCACAGTAACAAAAATGTTTAATCAATACTCACATGTCAACGGAGTTTGTTGGTTTAGTAGTACAGAGGATGTTTGACGATTTCTTGTAGTATTTTAAAATAAGGGTTTTGTTTTGAAAATAACTTTAAACATTTAAACAATGGTTTTCTGTTACAAATTAGTGATGGAATCTCCGCGGCGATCCGCGTCTCTGTCACCGAGAAGGAAAACAGCCAGACCGATTTACCGTGAGTTATTTTTAAATGAAGTAAACTAGTATTTTATATTTGCCTACTGAGATTTTATTATTACGATTTGCTAAAAGAAAGTATTCTAGACTCTTATTTCATAGATGAAAGTGTAAAACTTGGCTTGAATTTTATGTAGCGCCTTGTCAAAAAATTGTCAAAACAATGTACAGTTTTAACGACAAAATTTCTACAGGCGCATTCATCTTGTTTTCAGGTTCCAGTGCTGTGTCAGATTTGATAACATCTGCGGAATATGAAGACAGTAACAATATAATAAGGTCGATTCCCGAGCGGGAATGGCGGCTGCTGACTGCTTTAGCGAGAAAAAGAGAAGAGAGCGCAGAAAGAGATAGATTGGCTGATGAATTTCATAAGATGTGGCGCGAGGAGAAACGGGAAAGAGAAATGGTTTGTTTTTTCTCAATTTTTTAAAAAGTAAATCTTAATATTAAACTGAGATTTTTATTAAAATGTTATTTTGTAATCCAGTTTTAAGTGGACGCATTTTCAGTAATTTTTATTCTTCTGCTGTGTAATAGATGGCGTTACTTGTTAACAATATATACTTTTTAGATAGACGCGCAGTCGACAGAGAAATTTAGGCAGTACATAAAAGAGAAACGTCGCCGCGAACGTTGTCTGGCTGAGCTGGTGCGAGGTCAGCAGCGCATGCAGCAGAATATAATGCAAGGGCAACTGCTAGACTGTATACGGTACAAGGATCACCGCGCAAAGGAGCTGATGGCTTTCAATGATGATAGAAAGGTGGACTTTTATATGACTGCTTGTTTTGTAGTAATTTTGTGTTCTGTGGAATCTAACAAAAGATGGCGTTGTAATCAATACAAATACTGCATCTTTTTGAAAGATCGCATATCAGTTTCAGTAGTTGTATAATTATTTTATACTAGTTGTAGCTAGTGACTTCGTCTGCGTAGAATTAAAAAAGTCATAAAAAAGATATCTTATGTTACTCAGTGACAAGGTAGCTTTTTAATGGTTGAAAAATTTTGATTTCGGTCTATTAGTTTTGAGTTATTTTAATACATACAAAAATACAAATCTTTCCTTTTTACAATATTAGTATACCCCGTGTATCCTAAAACTTAACCGATTTAGTATTATAAAATGTAGTTTAACTTTAATAGCTTATAGGAGTGCGTTTATGATTGTGTGTCTTTTTTTTAATCTAAGCTGATTGTCGTAGGTGAGCAGAATTATAGACAACGCGCTGGAGGAGGAGTCTCGTGCGTACCTCGCAGCGGACCGGCGGTCGCGGCAGCACGCGGCCGACCACTGCCGGCGCAGCGTACAACTTATACACGCCTTGCAGAAAGAAGAAGAAGCAAACAAGAGAAGGAATGCTTTGCTTAGAAATACATCACAGGTAGGTACAAACTTCATGCCTTGTTGTTAGACCTGATGTAAGTGAAACATAGGTATTCTGTTGTCGAAACTTAAAAGAGCAATATGTGTAATGTGGATAGAAATGCAATTAACTATAGTTTTGATAGCACTTTTAAAGGTCAGAGTATAACTAAAATTGTAAACGACTTGGTTTTTGGACAGTCATTTAAGTCATAGTGGGCAGGACAAGACGGATTCGGAGATTATTCCCAACCACCACCGTGCTTTGTCCCCACGTGAGAATACATGTTTTATCCGTCCCACATTTTAGTCCCGCCATCACCAATAAGATGTCAGATGGGACCGTTATGAAATAAAATAAGTTCAAACCGTCCCCTCGTCGCAAAAGTTGGGACGGATGAAACTTTTTATTCTTATCTGTCTCCACGTGGGGGCAGAGCTTGGTGACGGTTGGGAATAATCCGGATTCGGGTCTTGCGGCACAACCTACGCGCGAAATTTAAACCTATATTTCTCCACCGAATATGGAAAACTCATATCATCTGTACCGAACATCTATATAGAAGCTAAATAGGGTGTGCATATTTTTTTAGCGTGTAGCAATATCGAACGCGCTTAGTTCGTGGGAATCATCGCTGCTGCGTCAGGAGTTGGCGGCAGAGGAAGCGTATAGACGTGCGGAAGCGATAGCGCACGCGGCACACACTGACGCGCGCGCGATGCGATTGGTCCGCGAGCGTGACGTCAGAGCGCGTCGAGCCCGCCGATTGGCTGATTTCACAGAGCGACTCAGAGACGCCGTCAAAATTGGACAGATGTAGATTAAAAATGCATTTATTTTTGAAAAATGTTTTATTTCTAAGAAATTAATAAATATAATGTCAGTTCAATATTACAGTGTCTTATATTTTCCTGGAAAAAAACTAAAATCAACTTTGTAACCATATAATATATATTGTCAGTTTATGATTTTTACAGACATAAATAAATGTATGTCGATAACAGTTACCTCAGTACTGTGTCGACTTTTAGCGTTATAAAATATAAAAAAATAATAAATATGAGTATGGAAATTTTAAAGTATTAGTTTTATTTTAATACAAATGTCAACTATTTACCTACTAAACAAAGCAAGCTTAGAAATAAACTCATCTGCTTATAGACAAAATTACTAATAATGATATATACTAATACCTATACTTCTCCACTAATGTTTAAAGAGGAAATATTTGTATTTTTGCATGTATTGCAATAACTCAAAACCTACTTGGCCGATTTTAAAAATGTCATCACTAGAAAGGTCATTTATCTGAGTTACATAGGTTATATTGTAACTTGCTGTTTCCGTGCGGCTTCATCCGCATGAAATTATGAGAATTTTATTGTAATGTTTCCATTTGTGAAATTATCAATAGCAAATGTCAAAATAACATGACAAACCTAAGCAATCTTTTTTTTCTTGATGTTGGCAGCAACTTTTGGTCTCTTTCCCACATTAGAGTTTTCATCCAAGATATTTATCCCCTAAGTTTAATGGCGTGAAAATATATAGCCTAAAGCATGGCGAAAGTGTAGGGTTTTTGATTAAAAAAGAATTATTCAAAAATATGCTGTGATTGCTGACATCTTAGGGAACAAAGAAGTGTGCGTTTACGCTTTATTATAATAGTATAGATTTCACGCGGATGAAATCGCGGATAAAATCTAGTGTACAAATAAAACTCAAAAAAATCAGTTTTGAATATTATATTTTAGGTATAGGCAGAGTCAATATGTTTGATGGCCGCAGCGAGGCTGGCGGCGGCGCGGCTGTACTCCCGGAGGACCAGCTCGGCGCGCTGCAGCAGCGCGCTGCCGCTGGAACTGCTGGCAGCTGCTACTTCTACAGAACTGTTCACTTGCCTAATAACACTATAACGGAGATTTATGTTTCCTGTTTCTGTGTACGTGAAATTTGTATTCTGAAAATATATTAATATTATAAATGCGAAAGTTTGGATGGATGGATGTTAGAGTTTGTATCCTAAACGACTGAACGAATTTCTATGAAATTTGGTATAGATGTAGAGGATAGTCTGGAAGAACACATAGGTTACTTACTTTTGTTTTTTTGAACTCCACG